TGCTCGGAGTGGAATACTGCTGCTGAACCATTTACAGCTCTAATAAAGAAAGTAAAGCCTCCTGAATTCTGACCTTTTTTTGTGTGATGTTATCTAACGATCCGAGAGCTCTGATTGGTCAGGAGGCGGAGCTGTTGTACCAGCATTAGTTACCATGGTGATTTGCCAGGTGAGAAGTGAACCCTGAGGTGTCCTCAGGCCGACTAGATGAGGCCCCGCCCACTGACAGTTATTAATAAAGGCCGATTAGTGCTGATGTTTGTCAGCACTAATCTGTATTTTTAATCCTCTGAACTGCATCAGTAATCCTGCAGTAATCCCGCCTCCACATCGCCGTGGCGACAGAGGTCTGATGTCGACGCGACGACAGCGCAGATCAACACTTCCTCATTCAGTTGGTGGATGAGAAGATTTCTGCATTATTCATATTATGTCAGAAATAGATAATAATATACATCGTCAACAACACGTCAACAACAACAAGAGACCAGAGATGTTTTACTATTTAGTCCGATTTAATCTCTGAAGGTTTATTTAATCTCACCAGAATAAATGACGTTAATAATAATAATAATAACACTAGAAATGAGGATAATAATAATATAGTAGTAATGGTAATAATGACAGCAATAGTAACACAGAAATACATAATAATGACAACAATAATGTAATTCGCTTTATAGAAGAAATGTAACATGAATTCAGCGGCCTGATCTCAGGGTCACGTGACCTCCTGTGATGTCATCGGCTGTGTGTCTCCTCCAGAGTTACTGCTTCAGCACCAACAACCCGTACAGAGATGCGCCCAGCGCCTTCTCCGAGGCCCAGGACCGCGCCCGGGGGGGCGACCTGAACGCCGCCGTGCTGCTGCTGGAGGCCGCCATCCAGCAGGACCCGCAGGACTCCGAGGTCACGCTCACCGTCGCCGCGCCGACCACCGGCTGCAGTGCTGAGGCCGGAGCTGGACGCTAACGTGTGCTGTGTTGCTCGCAGGCGTGGCAGGTCCTCGGGACGACGCAGGCGGAGAACGAGAACGAGCTGAACGCCATCGCGGCGCTGCAGAGGTCCTTAGAAACACTCCAATGTATCGCACGCATCATCACGCGTTATGGGATGAGACGGTTGTCACAAGGAGTTAAATAGGTTTAGTTTATTTATTCACATTTCATTCATCATTTTCTCTCTTTAATGTTCAGCTGCTTTGTGCATATAAAGAGTCACACACACACACGCACACACGCACGCACACGCACACGCACGCGCACGCGCACGCACACGCAAGCACAGACACACGCACACGCACACACACGCGCACACACACACACACACACACACACGCGCTTACAGACTCTGTAGTAAATCAACAGGTGAGTTAACGATGGGGCGGCAGATTTAATCAACCAGGTTAAAAATATATATATTTATTCTTTTATTAACTTGTTTACGTCAAAGGTCACGTTAGAGGAGGAAAAGGTTCATCGGTTTGTCTTTTACTTTAACAGACTTAATATTCTGTGTAAATGTTTATACGTGTATCTATACTTTTATTGGTTTCTCGTATCAAACAAACCCTGAAGTCGTCTTCATACTGAGCTTCTTTTATTCCTTATTAAGTTTATTAAACAAATGTGTGGTACTAAAGCGCCACCTGTGCTAACGCGGCTATGCTAACACCTGCTGCAGGTGTCTGCAGCTCCGCCCCAACAACCTGCCGGCCCTGATGGCGCTCGCCGTCAGCTTCACCAACAGTGGAGAGCAGCGGGGGGCCGCCGCCGCCCTGCGCCGCTGGCTCAGCCACAACCCACGCTACAAGCACCTGGTCCCGCCTCACAGGGGGCCCCGCCCCCCCACGCCGGCCAGGTAGCGACACCTGTACTCATTACCCACGAGCCTCAGCGGCCATACATCCAGAGCCATAATGCCGTAATGTGTGTGTCTGTCTGTGTGTGTGTGTGTGTGTGTGTGTGTGTGTGTAGGGCTGAGCTGCAGGACGTCCTGCTCCTCTTCCAGGAGGCGGCCATCTTGAATCTGGAAGAAGTGGATCCGGATCTGCAGACCGGACTGGGAGTTCTTTTCAACCTCGGCTCTGACTTCAGCAGGGCGGTGGAGGCCTTCAGCGCGGCCCTGTCAGTGAGACCACAGGTAACACACAGACACACACACACACACACACACACACACACACTTATAACAAAGCCGGTAGATCTTATAACATATTTAGAATACTACAGAACTATAGAATATCTTAATATAATATATATATATATATATATATATCAGAGTCACATGGAGCCATGTTGGATCCCTGATGTCATCACATTATGGTGATATCATGTCAGCCTTGGCTTCCTGTTTGCTCCTCCTCAGGACTACCTGCTGTGGAACCGCCTGGGAGCGACGCTGGCGAATGGAGACCGCAGTGAGGAGGCCGTTGAGGCGTATACCAGGGCCCTGGAGCTGCAGCCCGGATTCATCCGGTCCAGATACAACCTGGGCATCAGCTGCATCAACCTTGGGGCTCACAGGTAACACCTTCAGCTGTCTGACATTTGCATCACACAGGAACAAAGGTGAGCTAGAACCCTGGCAAACCCTAGAGGACCTAACAAGATCTCACACACCAGAGAACGTGGTCCACACTGGAGAACACCAGACCCAACTGTAGCTTGTGAGGTGCCTCCAGCTGATGTTGGACATCGCTTGTTGTTTTCTAATCGCAGTGACGTATTCAGTGAGATCACAGTAGAACCCATGTGGTTCTGGTCTGACCCGGTCCCGTTTCTGCAGGGAGGCAGTCAGTAACTTCCTGACGGCTCTGAACCAGCAGAGGCGGAGTCAGCAATGCAGCCATCAGCAGATGTCGGCCAACATCTGGGCTGCTCTGCGAATCGCCGTCTCCATGATGGACCGACCCGAGCTGGTCCAGGCCGCCAACGCCGGGGACCTGGACCTGCTGACGAGGGCCTTTGAGGTGGTGGACGTCTGATGAAGGGGGGTCGGTCCGAGGGACGTTCTTTGGGGGTCAGCATGTGGATCCGTCGACCTTGAATCCAAAGGAAAACCCTTTGCAATATAACAGCACAACCCTTTAGCGCCCTGTGAGGGCGAAGAACTTGGCGAGGAGGCGGAGTCTTTCTCGGAAACACAAACAGGTCTTTTCTATTCTATCATATGTTATTAAAAAGCCTCCATTTCATTTTATCTACTTCAACCACACTCCGCTCTCTGCTGATGTCACAGCGCCGGCATTTTAAATTGCTTCTACTTGACTTTGTTTGTCGAATGAAAGTCGTAACTTCCTGTTCAGATTCCTCAGTAAAACACACAAACTCACCAATTTTTACTGAAACGCTTTTATTGCGAAACCTCTGCAAGAAGTGGTGCCAATAATCAAAGTGTCCCTCTTAAAGTGAGTAACACAACTCTTAATGTAACTGCACACTTAGAACTGAACCAGACCGGTTGGACCCTGGCGGGTGTCGGCCATCTTTAACTCCACATTATGATTATTGTTATTTCAAAGTATCTCTGAGTAGAATGCAATCCGCGTTGAGTTAAAACAAAACATCTAATACATAAGTTCCCTAATGTGAACCTGTTTAAGAATAATGATCAATCTGAACATCTGATGTCAGCTTTCACAGGTTTAAATCTTTTGTTATTTTGTCATTATTGAACACATCCTCTCCCATCGACACGAGTTATTCCCTGCTACTCATTGAGCAGCTAGTTAGCTGAAATGCTAATTGCGCCACAACGCCACGCCACACATCATTAGAGCAGATGGGCTTGGTCGAGGCGTTTAACACCCTTTTAGTTAGCTCATTTGCTAATGCTAACAACTAGCATGCTGACTGCGGAGAGTTAAGTATCTCTCTGTGGTATCTAGTATAAATACTTCAAGATAAGGACCTGAGATACACATCTAAACTTTATTCTGTTTTTTCTAGTTTGAAATCCAAAATATCAAGTTTTGAAAATTGACTTTGGAACCTTTTGAAACGTTAATATTTGATGTTGCAGTTACAGAGGACGTTGGATGTAACAAGCATTTTGGTTTGGGATGACAAGGAGCTCAGGGAGGTCAGCGAGGCAGAGGAGGGAGGGAGGAGGAGGGAGGAGGAAGGAGGGGGGAGGAGGAGGGAGGAGGAGGGGGAGGAGAGGGAGGAGCAGCAGAATAAGGGGCGGGAGGAAGCGCTCTCACCTCCTGCTTTAACCTGTAAAAGCCACTGAAGCCGTGCAGGTTTATTTTGGCGGTCCGTCTTCCTCTCAGGTGAATCGTCTGGCTTCAGTTCCTCTGCTCGACACACACACACACACAGACACAGACACACACGCACACACACACACACACACACACACACACACACACACACGCAGTGTGAGAACGAAGCAGCAGAATCCATGTAAAGTATCAATAATCACATTTAACATGAATATGAAGCATCTTGTGTTCGTTTTGTTTCAAAGAAACTAGAATCATTTATTTGGGTTTTGTTCTTTGACGCTTGTTCATGTTTTTCTCTCATTGCTTGTTTAGTTTTGCTTCCAGCCATTGATTGATTGGCGGATCAAAGGATCAATCAGTGAGATTCTTCCTCAGTTCTCATGTTTCTTTGAAGTGTTGATGTTTCTCATGTAAACAGACAATAATCATGTAAACTGATATTTTACAAATCAAACAAACGATACTGAACCTAAAAGCTGATCATTTCCTTTGATCTGGAAGCGATTATATACGTATGTTCAGTGGGGACAAAGTATCTGAACCCCTGACCAAGTTTGGCCACTTGCAAAGAAATCTATAAATATAATCGTAGGTGTATTTTAACAGTGACAAACAGTATATCAACACAAAAATCCAGAAAACTACCTGTGTGTGTATATATATATATATATTTATATATATATACATGTGTATATGTGCGTATGGAAACGGCTCCATGCTCACGCCTCCTCTGACTTTCAACCAATCACATGACAGTAAAACACACAGCTTCTCCTCAGTCAGACGAGACTTTAATGACAAACAGGATTCATCTCACATGTATTTATGTTTAGTTAGCGGTTAGCTTAGCTAGCTATGGTAACATCTATACTGGTGTTGCTGCTTCACACGATCCCCCAAACGTTGTCATGTGTTGGTCTTGATCCTGCAGGATCAGGAGCAGATAAAAACCAGCTTCAGAAACATCTGGAAACAAGGCTTGTGTTCTCCAACTGTCCAGATGTACTCCTCAAACTCCTCAGGAGAAGAAGTAGTGAGTCAGCAGCTTCCTCCTCTTCCTCTTCCTCCCAAAGTCTTTTCCTTGTAGAGCCGGGCGGTTCCAGAGGTCCGTTTGTCCCTTGTGGGTTGCCGTACTAACATGCAGATAAGATGGAGGAGTGGTGATATGATCTCTAAGCGTAACATGAGTCCAGTTAGACCTCCTGCAGGTACTGGACGGAGAAGGCCTCCAGTTGGGTCTCCAGCTCTGTGGCTCGGTTCCTGTAGACACAAAGGAGACTCAGTACAGGAAGTTCTCGCTCTCTTCACTGGTACCGGTGGCTCATCCAGTTCTAAACACTGGTGCTCACGTAGCATGCTGTGAATGGACGGGGTCCAGCTTACATCCAGGACCTGGTCCAACCCGACATCCCGACCCGCACTCTCCGCTCTGCATGTGATAAACTGCTAGTTTGAGGTGCACTGATTGTAAGTGGCTTTGGATAAGAGCCGGTGATGTAATGTACCAACACTTAACAATGTTAAGCTCCAGAGTGTTAATAAAGTTTTATCCCCCAATATTCAATGATATCATTGATGTTCTCTGGTCTCCGATGATGTCATTTAGTAAATAACCAATGAGTGTTTAGAGACACGGAGGTTCACTTAAGTTACATTATGATGCGTTCAGGCTCCGCTCAGTGAACATGAGAACATGCAACGTTATCGCCATGAAGTATGATGTGTTTACCGTCCTAGTTAGAGCTATTAGCTCATTATTGTACATCCTTAAACCTAATAAGTACAATGGAATATAATATAATATCTCATTCTTATTTGACTTTGTCGTGTTTTTACGATATTTTTGTATTTTTTAAGGTTTAATGACCTAATGAGAGTATTGAAATGATGCCATAGATAAATATTGTGTGACTATAATAAGGTTTAGTTCCCTGTACTTCACTGACCCGCCCTCAGTGAGAGTGTGACCTCTGACCTGAAGGCCTTGGACCTCCTCTGGAGGTTCTCCAGTCTCTGGATCCTGAAGCTCAGCTGCCGGATGTTCCCCTCCAGTTCCGCCTCGCTCAGATCGACTCTCTGCGCCAGGCGGCCGAAGGTGGACGCCAGCTCCCTCAAACACAAAGAGCAGGTGAGCCACAGTCGGAGTCCACTCAGGCGAGGCCGCGGCCGTCCGGGGGGTCTTACTTGTGCACCTGCTGGCTGCAGGCGGAGCCGGCGGCCGGGACGGCGGCCCTCAGGCGACGAGCGGCGTGCTCCACAAACTGCTGCTTCAGGGCGCGCTCCCTGCTGCCGTCCGTCCACGTGAGCTTCTCGTACAGGTAGAGCAGCCCGTAGAGAGACAAGGACAGAGCGAGGAGACGCCAGCCCACAGAGCGCCACACCTGCAGCGCACGCACACAGGAGGCCATGCACACGCGTGTGCGTGCTGTATGAAACAAAGAAACTACAAAGAAATAATGAGAACATCAGCTCACCACGCCACCGACCACCATCCCCGCCATGGACGCTCGGGAGGAGACGCAGGACAGGCCCGTCGCTATGGAAACCGCCATGTCGTCCTTGAAGGTGGATGTTTCCTGCAAACAGCATCAACGGAGACGAGCTGAAGCGTAAACAACGTGGACGCATAAACAAGGCGGCGGCGGCCGGACCCACCTGAGGCCGCACGTCTGCGGCGGCGCCCAGCGCCCGCTTGGCGTTGGACGCGCCGATGAAGCGGGCGACGAGGGCCGTCCAGCCCAGAGAGAACTGGAACTCGATGTTCTCACGGAAGTCTGTGCACAGGGCGACCAGGCCGAGGTCGTAGGTCAGGTCGAAGGAGGCGGAGGGAGCGGAGAGCCGGTCGTGGACTGACGGAGACAGAAGAGGTTGGACGCTGTCTGAGGACAAAGGACAGACCGTCAGCTGGCACGTTTGAGACCAGCCCGGAGCACAGAGGCAGAGCGAGAGGTCGTACCCGTCATGTGTCTCTGAGTCTCTGCCATGTCCCTGAGGACGCCGGCTGAGCAGCGATGAGACAAACAGCCGACCAGCCTGTCCTCCACGTGCTGCAGCAGCTTCTGGAGACACGACGGCAGATACGTTCTACCATCGCCACGACTTCTAATCATCTAGATTCACTCATCTCGATGTTCTTTTTCTGTAACCCTTATCTTGTAGTTGTATCTTCATTTCTTTGCTGTCATCCACTTTATTTTCTACCATTGTTTCCATCTGTAATCTCTATTTTGCACGTTTTCTGCCCCCGTTTCTATCACATCCTGCATTTCCCTCACTGGACGTGGTACTTGTACACAGGTGGAGTACTTGTTAGCGTGCTGCTGTACTCACAGTTTTGTAGAGCTCCAGAGCTTCTTGTGTGGGGTTGAAATCTGCTCTGAACTCCTCCACCAGAACGGGAAGCGAGCGGATCTGATCCGTCAGCGCGGTGGCAACCTGACGTGAACCTGCTGTTAGTCCACAGCTACACAACAAGTCACACTGAAGACACACGGTTAGGTCTGCGTCACATACACATCAATCCTCATCGGCCGCGCTAAATCAGCCTACGTATTCAGCATCTTCCTTCTAGATTTACAGCTTCCGACTGGTTATCCGATCGTATCTCCACACTGACCGTGAGGGACCAGGGAGAAGATCTGCTGGAAGCATCGTCCATAACGATGTGTATCAAAAGTCAAATCTCCATCCTGACTCAACTCGTCAATCTTTAGCCTCCTCTATTTTCATCAACATTCAAATAATTCATTTGTATATTCTATAAAATAAGAAAGAATGTGAGTTGTGTGTGTCGGCTGTGGGGAGGGAACCTTGGCAGAGACGTCGTCGGTCAGAGTCTTGATCCTCTCTTTGACGCTGACGGTGAGACGGTTAATCTGTCCTCTGACGAAGTCGAGCCGGTCCTTCTGATCCTCACGCTCCTCCAGGCAGCAGATCCTGTCAGAGGAGAGATGACAAGAAACGTCTTCCTCTCAACCGTCTGCTCATGTTGTTAAAGAGGAAGTGAGCGAGTGAGTTTTTCCGACTTCCTGTCGGCCGAGGCGATGTTGATGGCGTCCATCACGGCTTTGATGGCCTCAGTGATCTGCCTCGCTCTCACTGTGTGCTGCTCAAACTTGGTCTTCACTGCAGACTGAGAGATGAACTCCTGCAGGGGTCAAAGGTTACCAGTTACATCGGCTGGTTCACTTATTTTACACTAAAACACTAAATGTCTTTGTACCTCAAACGTCCTCTCAAACATCTGGAACTCTCTGAGTCTCTCATGGAAACCTTCAGCGAGAGCGCCACCTGCAGGAAGACGAAGGGGGACAAATAATTCATGAGATATTTATGAGTCATCTCATTGTCTTCTTCGTCATACTGATGTTTAAATATTGCACAATTGTATTTACTTTAATTGTCCTATTTCTTATGCGTATTATTATACGAAGATAATCATTTTCTTTTGTCTTTCTCATAAGAAAATGATTGTTATTAATAGTATATCCTGGTGGATAGTTGAGTGTAAAATAATCTCTTGAGACACTGAGACATTGATTGTCTCTGCGTGTCTTACTGACCTTACCTGTCTCACCTGTCTCAGGCATGCCCTGTGCTCGCTGCATCCTGGAGCTCAGGACCTCCTTGGCGGAGACAAAGAAGATCCTTCCCGGAGCCTCGTCCAGGCTGACCACCTTCAGCTCCTCGGCCAGGAAACGCACACCGCGGTCCAGGTGCTGCTTCCTCACCTGGAACAACAGTGGGTACATCCAACTTTCCTGGGTTGCTCTACAGCATATATGTCAAACTCAAGGCCCGCGGGCCATATCCGGCCCGGCATGCAATTATATCTGGCCCGCGAGATCATTTTATATTATTGTTACCAATGGCCCGACGATATGAAGCGCTGATAACAAAATAAACTACAGATCCCATAATGCAGCGCTTCAGCTGCCTTGCCGAGCGCTTTCCGTGGCGTTTCTGGCTGACATAACCAACCATCCATCCATCCATCCATTGTCAAACCGCTTATCCTGCACACAGGGTCGCGGGGGGGCTGGAGTCCATCCCAGCCAACTTCGGGCGATAGACAGGGTACATCCTGGATTGGTCGCCAGCCAATCGCAGGGCTACACAGAGACACACAACCATTCACACTCACATTCACACATCTACGGGCAATTTAAAGTCCCCAATTGACCTGATCCCCAGAGCATGTCTTTGGACTGTGGGAGGAAGCCGGAGAACCCGGAGAGAACCCACGCAGACACGGGGAGAACATGCAGACTCCACACAGAAAGGCCACTGGGCGGAATCGAACCCAGGACCTTGCTGTGAGGCGACAGTGCTAACCACCGCGCCACCGTGCCGCCCCTGGCTGACATAACCGCACGTCTCAATGCCTTAAACCTCCAGCTCCAGGGACGCAACCGCATGATCACTGACATGTATGACGCAGTGAAGGCATTTCAAGTGAAGCTGATTTTATGGGAGACACAAATGCACCAGTGCAACTCGCCCCACTTTCCCTGTTGCCAAGTAATGCGGCATAGCGGTGTTCCCAAATACGCACGTTGCTGATAAACTGAGCGCACTGCGCACGGAGTTCGCACGGCGCTTTGGTGATTTTGAGGAACAAAAAAAGAATTTTGAGTTGTTTGGCAACCCATTTGCCGTCGACGTGGAAACTGCACCTGTGCAGATTCAGATGGACCTGATTGAGCTGCAGTGTAATGGGACACTAAAGACAAAGTACGACACTATTTATTCACTCCAGTCCCGCAGCAATGTCCCAGCTCCGTCTACATGCGGCTCGAACCTTGTGCGTGTTTGGTAGCACATATCTGTGTGAGAAGCTGTTCTCAGTGATGAAGACAAACAAAACAGCACACAGGAGTCGTCTCACTTATGAACCTTCAGTCCATCCTGAGAGTCTCCACAACACGGGACCTCGCGCCAAACATAAACCAACTTTGCCAAAAAAAGATGCAAAGCATCCAGCTCTGATAAAATGGCATAAGAGCAAAGAAAACTGAATGTTTTGCATCGTTATTTGTTATTTCTGAAAAGCACAAATTTTATTTATAGTTCCAGGTTTTGTTTTGTTTTGCAGCATGTTCATGTTTCTAACTTGTATAATTTTGACTGGATATATTTTTATGGAGAGCAAGATATTTTAAGTTAAGTTAAGTTTAAGTTTATTTATTGCAGAATAACATTCCTGTCTGTTTGTATTTATATTTATGTTAAAAGAAAATTTTAGTTTTAGTGTGTTCAATAAATGTTTATTCTGTTCGGCCCGCGACCTGAAGTGTGTTTTGAATTTTGGCCCCGTGTGCAATTGAGTTTGACACCCCTGCTCTACAGTTTAGCCACGTACATCATAGATCCCTTAGCTGGATACATCCTTGTTCTCTTAGGAGAGTATATCCGAGTTCCCTTAACTAAATACATGGTAAATCATCTTACCCCAGGTTGGGTAGATCCTAGTTCTCTTAGCGAGATACATCTTAGTAGATGAGTACATTATAGATCCCTCAGATGACTACATCCTAGTTCCTTTAGTTGTGTACATCTTAGTTCCCTTGGCTGGGTAGACCCTCGTTCCCTTGAACCCTTGTTACCTTCCGGCTACGTTGGGGGAAATCAAACACTGACCTCCTCGATGTATTCAGGTTCACTCACTGACGCGTCCCATCGGTTGTGGAGGATGAAGATATTCGGTTTGGAGATTCGCTCGCTGACTTTGTGGAAGAACAGTTTCTCCTGCAGAACACACATGTACACACATATATATCTATATCTATATAGATATATAAGTACTTTATATACATGAACAAATTATTTACTGTGTTCATGAGCGTCGACTCAGCGTTTCCAACCAAAACGAAGACGTCGGCATCCAGACAGAACTTATCGATCCAGGTGTCTAACTCTAGAGTGACGTCAGTGCCAGGGCTGGGTCAGGGGTCAGAGGTCAGACATGATCATTAGTACAGAAGCTAAAAGTACGTCTTCACTTAACGGATGTTTCTCTTATTGAGACCAGTTGTGTGTGTGCGTGTGTCAAGGTGTGTGTAGCTGTGTGTGTTACCTGTCCATCAGCACCAGGTCGTCTCTCAGCAGAGCACAACGGCTTTTAGGCCACATCACCTTCACCAGACTGCCAGAGTCCAGAGTGGGAACCATGTGGAGGGCATGAGCCAGCTGGTTCACCGTCTGAGGAGGCAGAGGAGCAGCAAGTTACCCAGAGGAGTCTGACCGATGCATGATGCCATAACCCGTCTCTAAACCCTCCAACATGTGGGACTGGAGTGTTGGACGTACGGTGACGCTCCTCCGGTCGCTGGACGCCTCGGTGGTGAGGTAAGCCTCGTCGGCGTCGGTTCCTTCCACCCTCAGGAAGCAGTTTGTGGTGTGACCGATGCCGCTGGGCAACACGCGGTCCCTCAGCATGGCGTTGATCACCGTACTCTTCCCGTTGCTCGTCCTGAAGCATAGAACCATTTCATTTTATCGTATTCTTTCATATCACATTATGTTACATTACATCAACGACTGAAAGCCTCCAGAACCGCCCACTTTAATTATCTTGTGCTGATAGTGTAATCGTTTATTATATGATCAGATCAGAGTTTGGTTTTATTTGAGACTTTTGCATGTTTGAGGGTCTATAATTTAATAACGACCACTTTAACAAGTGGTCGTAGACGTCCACTGGCGAGGGAGTATTTAGAGAGGTTGAGCCGCATGAAGACAAGCAGGACAAAGACTAAGGAGTCTTTCGCGGAGTCTTCTGGGCGGCTGAATGCGACGCCGTTTCCTGCTATTTTTCATAATGTGTTTGACCCCTTGACCCGTACCCGTCCGAACCGCTTCCCGCAGATACTACAGGCCTCGGGCCAGATCCGCTCTCTATCGTAACCTCTCCTCTCTCACCGATCCCACCCGCTCCACACATGTGCACCTCGTCACAGGAGGCCTCTAGACCTGCCAGTCAGCGACTTGTAAGGCAGACTTCATCTCCAGCTTCGCTATCCAGCAGTCACTTGACTTCCTCGCTCTCACCGAGACCTGGATCACACCTGAGAACACCTCCACCCCAGTGGTGGTGTGTCCGATGGCGCTGGGCAGCACCCGGTCCCTCAGCATGGCGTCGATCACCGCAGGAACCAAAGAAAATAGCTGACATACGCTCCTCTTTCTCAAACCCACCTCCTCCTTCTCGTGTCCCACCGTCTTCACCTCTTTCGCCCTCACTTTCCTCTTTCACCCCCTCTCTCCTAACCAAGTTCTTACCCTAGTAACCTCTGCCCGTCCACCACCTGCCCTCTTGACCCCATTCCATCACATCTTCTACAATCTATTGCACCCGACCTTCTTCCTTTCCTCACCTGTCTCATCAACAATGCTCTGTTATCTGGCTGTTTTCCCAATTCTCTGAAGGAGGCAAGAGTGAAACCTACCCTCAACCCTTCTGAAGAACACAACTACAGACCGGTCTCTCTTCTTCCCTTTTGGTCCAAATCTCTTGAACGTGTGATCTTTAACCAACTCTCCTCCTATCTCCACCGTAACCTTCTGGACCCCCACCAGTCAGGCTTCAAGGCCGTTCCACAGAGACTGCTCTCCTCGCTGTCTCAGAGCAGCTCCACACTGCTAGAGCTCCTCTCTCTCCTCTGTCCTCGTCTTTCTGGACGTCTCTGCTGCATTTGACACAGTCAACCACCAGATCCTTATCTCCTCCCTTCAGGAACTTGGTGTCTCAGGCTCTGCTCTCTCCCTTCTCTCGTCCTACCTCGACGGACGCACCTACCGGGTAACCTGGAGAGGATCTGTGTCCGACTAAAAGACCAACAACGTGAAGAACTTATATTGTACTTATAATGGTTCTTATCTATAGCAAATTGGCTTATTTGATGAAATCACACTTTCTAGTTTCTTATTCTTCTGAGTTTGTCTCCTTATGGTTAAATCCACTTATTGTAAGTCACTTTGGATAAAAGCGTCAGCTAAATGACGTGTGATGTAATGTGATGTAGTGTGATGTGATGGTCAAATCTTGAGATGCATTTCATAAATGAACAAAATGGAAATATTTTCTAATAAAATCAACGTTTAAAAGGTTTCACTTCCTGGTCAGTTATTACATCATCCCCCACCACCCCTCCTCCTCCACATGGGAATGTTTCAGCAGTTTGTGCTGAGAGATAAAAGTTTATCTGAGTTAACAGTTAAAAACTGCTACAAAGTGCTGAATGCTTCTGAGTACTTCTATGTAATAGTCTGTACTTCCATGTACTACTTTGTACTCTGTATTTAGTAGGGCCAAAGATTTGGGGAGTACTTTACGTTTGCCAGTTTATTTAAGTTAATTATTATTGTTATTATTTCAATTTCCATAATGAATTATAACGGTATCATAATAATTATATTATAATAATAAAATGAGTATTATAGTAGTATTTGTACAGAGTAAGACTTTTTATTTTAATGTATCAATAGTAGTAGTTATTTTAGTATTAATTGCAGTAGACATATTAGTAGTAGTCTTATTAGTAGTAATATTAGTTGTAATATTACTGATAGTACTAGTTGTATTTGTATTAATAGTAGTTGTAGTATTAATGCAGCAGAAATACTGGTAGTAGTTTTTGTTATAGTAGGAGAAGTAATATCTGTTGTAGTATCACTACTAGTTGTAGTAACAGTAGTATTTTTAGTATTACGAGTATTAGTAGTCATTTTCGTATTATTAGCAGTAGAAATACTAGTGGTAGTAATAGTAGTAGCCGTAGCAGTTGTAGTACTACTAGTAGTAGTAGCTTTTGAAAGAGCAACACGCATTACAACAAAACAGATAGAGGCTTTTATTTTGAAATGATGGGATTGGGTGGTGCAGAGAGAGAGAGAGAGATTTAATGAGTGAGCAAGAACGAGAGAGAGAGAAGGGGTGAAAGGGTGAGACAGATGGAGACTGGAAGTGAGTGAGAGAGAGAAACAGCAACAAATGGAGTGATAGAGTGATAGTGTGACAGAGTGACAGAGTGATAGAGTGACAGAGTGATAGAGTGACAGAGTGATAGAGTGATAGAGTGACAGAGTGACAGAGTGATAGAGTGATAGAGTGACAGAGTGACAGAGTGATAGAGTGACAGAGTGATAGAGTGATAGAGTGACAGAGTGATAGAGTGAGCGCTTAAGGAAGAGTGTAAAGTAGAGGAGTTTTACAAGATGTCGGGTCTGACTTGGCTGGTAGCTGCGTCATGTGACTCCACTAATCAGCTGATCACCTGAGTGCTGCTGTCATTGTTCATAAGCTGATCAGAGAGCCGAGAGAAATAAGAGTTCTCTCTAGGAATAAGATTTACTTAAGCTGCAAAACTATAAAGCCAGGAAATAAAACTATATGAGAGACCCAAGACGTATCCTTTACATGTATGTGGCACATTCAATAACTTGTACCAGGTCTGCAGGTCTCGGTGGAGCTCTCGGGGGCTCAAAAGTATAAGTCTGTTATTGGATCTATTGATCCAAAATGAAGCATGCAGAGTGAAAATTGCCAAATAGAAATCTTTTTGAACCTTCTGCTCTCCAGTAGACGGCCCCTTACACACTGATGTAGATCTCACAAACATAATCAGTGCTACTGAGAAGAAACACATATCAAAACGCAGTTTTTTAAAAATAGTTTAGGCTTTTGTTGACATTTTAAAGTTCAAATAGTGGCTGCAGCTGTAAGATTGAAGAAGAAGAAGGATTTGAAAGTTGATTAAAAAAACACTATTGGTTTTCCAATGGAGTTTTCTTTGTTAAAACGTAAAAACATTATGAATACTGATTTATATTAATTCAAGCATAATAGGTAGAAAGCTGATACAGATACAAAAGGAAACTGAGAGGAACAATAGTTAACAGCATGTAAACAAACTGCACATTCAAATGATAAAGATGGTGGCAGTTTCCACCATCTCTCCATAAACGACCACTTGTCACGTGACCCTCTCACAAGCCTTCTCTTCCACCAGGTGGTGCCTACCTGCCGAAGAAGGCCACCTTCATGTGTCTCCGGACCAGAACCTCCTTGATGGTCCACAGCTTGGTGGCACAGCTCTGCAGCTCCAGACTCTGCTCCTCCACGGCCACCTGACCCGGGTCGTCTCCTCGCCACGCCTCTGACATCACAGCAACAACAAGCAACAACAGGGTCAGCTGTTGACCATCAGACTGAAGCAGAGCGTAACGACCTACACATCCATTCTTAATCCACCGCGAAGGTATCGTGTACCTCTAAGTACAGTTTGAGGTACTTTCTCTCATCTCATCTACTTTTATTGCTTCAAATAGCTTCAGTTAATAGACGAGAACTAGAACAAATGATGATGTGCAGCAATTCTGTATCTTACTATTCTGATACCTGGACCTTTACTTGTAAGAGTATTTATACACAGTATTAGTACTTTTGCTGCAGTAGAAGATGTGTGTGTGTTGTTACTTTTTACTTTGTTGATTATTACTTTGTTACTTGTCACTTTGTTAATTGTTACTGTTACTGTTTGATTGTTACTGTAACTGGTTACTTGTTACTGTAACTGGTTACTTGTTACTGTTTGATTGTTACTGTAACTGGTTACTTGTTACTGTAACTGGTTACTTGTTACTATAACTGGTTACTTGTTACTGTAACTGGTTACTTGTTACTGTAACTGGTTGAATATTACTATAACTGGTTACTTGTTACTGTAGCTGGTTGATTGTTACTGGTTGAATATTACTATAACTGGTTACTTGTTACTGTAACTGGTTGATTGTTACTGGTTGAATATTACTATAACTGGTTACTTGTTACTGTAACTGGTTGATTGTTACTGGTTGAATATTACTATAACTGGTTACTTGTTATTGTACCACTCCAGAATCCTGAGGATCTTTGCAGTCCTCTAAATCTCTGTTAACAAAAAACACCCTTTTGTGGCACAAAACACAAAGAACCATTCAGTGTGTGTCGTTTTATGTCGTTGTGTGTTTGTGGCTGACCGTCCACAAAGGCGGAGCCGTCCTTTACAAAATCCAGCAGCTGATCAAAGATGGAGGTAATCAAACGCTTCGCCACAACAAAACGCCTTAGAGGAGACGCATCTACGGCGTCCATGACACCTGAAACACACACACACAGACACACACGTTAACACAAACATGCGCTGTTGGTCAACAGATGAACACACATAGTTTACCGTGTCCAGCCTCTCTCTCGGGTTCAGAGGTCAGTTGTGATTCTTCCGCCATGAGCCGCCAACAGCTTCCATCATCTTCTCTGTTCAGCAGCAGCGCGACCTCATCAGACTGTGATCCCAGCGCACAAAGCTCAGCTTACTGTGTGTGTGTGTGTGTGTGTGTGTGTGTGTGCGCAGACAGATCTTCTTAGCAGGACTTATCGCTGCTTCACCTGCAGACGCAACTTCCTGCCAATTCCCTAAAGCCCTCATTGGGTGTAATATCATGTTATTATTGTTTTTAATACATAAAATAGGGTTTCCCCAAGGTTTACGACCAGGTAGGGGGGTAGTAACGGATCGGCCAGCAGCGGGTGCCCCATTGATATAATGTTAGGGGAAACATTGCAAAACGTCCACAGGAGGCGCTATTGTATTCGCCTCTGCACATAAAATCCACTTCCATAGAATAAACTGTGAAGATGAAACAGATTCTTTGACTGAGCTGCAGCTCACTGTCGGCACGACAACAGCGATGAATGATGTAATAATACGCAGTGTGTGTGTGTGTGTGTGCGTCTCTATCTGCTTCAGTCAGATTCAGGGGAAACGGACGCTGCTGTTTGATCAACTTCCAAAGTAACTTTCATCATCCTGTCACACTGAAGACACCGCCCTCCTTATCTGATAGAAGGGCGGTTGTGTGTTTATTTATGTGTGTTTGTGTGTCAGTTGGAGCCATTAAAACCTCCAGTGGTAAAAGTCATTCCAAATGTGTATAAGCAATAAGGAGGAAGAGGAGAAGGAAAAGGGGAGGAGGAAGAGGAACAACGTCTGCAGGCAAAGAAAGAGGGTGATGATAGAAGAGAGACGGGGCGCTAAGGAGACCTTTTAGAGACAGACTGAGGACAGACGAGGTGACAGCTTCAGCATAAAAGAGGCTGTCAGAGAGAAGACAGAAAGAGGAGGAGGAGGTGGAGGAGGTGGAGTCAAGGAGGGACATTAAAAACAGACTCGGCTGGGCAGACACGTCCAAACTGAGGAGGATCAGAGAAGAAGAACGTCGTCACTCGTCTGCAGAGTAAACGACTGAAAGGGAGCGAGGAGAAGGAGGTGGAAAAAGAGGAGGCGGAGGAACCAAACCACCCACAGAGAGTTTCCTCTCACACACACAGTTTGTGTTCACAGCAGCTTCACCTCTCTGACAGCAGGAGAAGAGAAAGAAGGAGTCACAAGGAGAAGCTGACTCTCCTCCACCCTTCACGATAGAGGAGCAGACTCACCACCTGCATCATGGGAACGCTTTGAGTCCTCAAAGACCCCTGAAGACCTCTGGTTCCTCCTCCACCAAACCTCCCCCAGCATGTTGGCCAGGCCGACCCAGGGTGGGGCGGGGGGGCAACTGGGCCTGACGTTGATGGTGATGATGGTGATGGTGGCGCTAGTGGTGGAGGCAGCCAGCGTGGAGGAAGTGGAGAGTGAGGAGAGCGAGGAGGTCCTGGAGGAGGAGATCCTGGTGAGGAACAAAGGTCACTTCCCGGTCTCTACTGAGCACGTGCAGCTGTCAGCGGAGACCTGCACGTGCTCAGTAGAGACCGGCTAGGTGTGTTAGCCACAGATAGCTAATCATCAGTAATGTTGTAGCTGTGACAGCTGCTGTTTATTATTATACAACAACAATATATTGATCCCAATAACAAAAGAAGGAACAGCAACATTAATAAGCATAACAATAATGATTACATAACAATTCATAATAATTCATCATAACCTCTAACAGCTAATTAACATTAATATGAAACAGCATTAATCTTTATTCATCTTTATTGTTATCATTCATCCGTATACTTTACAAGCAACATTTATAAACCGACTTTCTCCAGGAGCCGCTGGCCTCAGTGTCTCCACTCAGCTCCTGGCTCATCTTCAGGAGAAACTCCAACAAAGGGGACAACCGGAGAAGCAAAGGGACCAGGAGAACCTCAAAGGTCTGACAACGGCGGGACAAAACATTTAACGCTTGATTCCGAGGGCGGAGCTAAGGGGGAGGGGTGGGGCCAGGAGGTCTGCAAATTCTGGACTCTTATCAACAACTTCCTGTTCTACGGCAGAACGCGCTTTAATTTGGGCGCATGGCACCAACGATGAAGTGACACAACGTTTAGCTGACTTTCTGCTGGTTTTGGGAGGAAATATCTAATGCCTCCCAAATGAGTCGTATTAGATCGATAACAGGCTGTATTCTAATGGTGCACCGGCCTCTGTTGTTGTCAGCATGGTCTTCCAGGACCTCCAGGACCTCCAGGACCTCAGGGACCCCGGGGGCCTCCGGGACCCACCACCCCTCTTCTTCCCCAGCAGCAGGAGGTCCTCCAGGAGTTGCAGCTCAGACTCAGAGGTGAGAGCCTCACGCTCGACTTACACTAAAGTATACACCACTTAGAGACCTGTCAATCAGCGTGTAGCCCCGCCCCCAGAGCATCCCCTGCTTTATGGTCTATTGGACCATCATTTATAGTGCAGCTTTTTAAACGTACGAAAAGCACCAAACTTGAGACAGAGCCATGCAAGCGGTTTCCCTCTGCTCCCAGTGTTCGTGCTAAGCTAGGCTAACACGTGAAGCTGTGTCTTTCAGAAGAAGAATATTTTAGTTTGTGTTCTGCATGTACGGTTACTAGAGACACACTGTTCACTCTCACGCCGTGTTTTCTGTATGTAGGTTACACAAACAAGGCTGTGTTTGTGAGTGTGTGTGTGTGTGTGTGTGTGTGTGTGAGTGTGAGTGTGTGTGGAGGCAGCCTGTCTGAGTCCTTAATAGGGGTAATTTTGTGGCTCAGCGGCCGGATTCCTGAAATTCCTGCTGACTGATGATGTGTCTCGGTTACTTTGTGTGTGTGTGTGTGTGTGTGTGTGTGTTTCCATATTTCAGTGTGTTTACCCATTAGTCAATACGACCTTTTATCCCCACTGTGCAATAAATAGACTAGTTCAATTCTCACAGAAGGCCGACATGGGAAGCTGTCTAGAAACAATGGGAGGCAGCTGATTGGATGAACCATCTGTCACTCAAACTCACTTAAGCCAGGGGAGAAAACCTTTCGCCACGGTTCTGATGAACCAGGTGCTAAAGTAGCATTTAAGCTAACCCTTCTTGGGCCGTCCTCTGCGCCTAAGCCCCTCCCCCTGCGGCCAGCTCGTTGCGGTACTCGGATTGGTAAACACACAAATCAAGACTTGTGTAATGTGTTGTAACTCTGGTCAAATGAGATCTTCTAACCCCGCTTCTCTCTCCATCATCTTCCTCTCCTCCTCCTCCTCCTCCTCCTCCTCCTGCTCCTCTCAGACATGGAAGGAGTGTGTTTTCAGTGTGATGCTACTCCTCGTGTCTCCACCTCCTTCCTCGGTCGCCTCCACCAGGACGTCATCGTCCCTCGACGCAGCCTGCTGGAGCTGCAGCCGTTTAGTCAGGTGACACACAAGTACACACGCGTACACACACGTACATGTACACACACCCACACACACGTACACACACCCACCCACACGTGTCACACAGGATCCCACGGTGATGTCGTGGGCCCTTGTGTTTGACCTTTGACCCCTGCAGCCTTCGGACTCAGAGCGGAGCCTCCAGAGGGGGCGGAGCTTCAACAGCAGCAGCGGCCGGTTCACAGCCGCCGTGTCCGGATTCTACCAGCTGACCGCCAGCCTGCTGATAGGTGAGAGCTGGTCACGTGACTCAGAGCGACCTATAGCAGCTGACCTGCTGAGGAGTAACGGTGTGCTTCCTCTGCGTCAGACAGCGGAGACCGAGGCCACGCGAGACTCCGAGACAGCGTGAGAGCCGCCGTGTGCATCGAGTCGCTCTGCCAGAGCAACCTGTGAGTAGCTCTTCTTCGTCCTCGTCCGTCTCCTCACCTTCTTCTTCTGCGTCCGGAGGTCAGACGGCTCATCCCTTGTCCTCCTCAGCTCTGTGGACTCGGTGGTGGGCGTGGCGGCTGCAGGAGGAACCTTCAGCATCCTGCTCACAGGAACTCTTCATCTGCAGGTGAGACCATGTGACACGAGGCCCCTCCCCCAATGTTGAGAAGTAATAAAACATTAAATAAGGCCCCTGGCTATCAATTAGGAACCAAATCAATAATCAATATCTGTCATTGCATCACGTAAACATGAGGATAAAGTTCCATTTGAAACAAACCGTTTAGCAGAATATAAATCAACCTGTGTGTGTCTCCGTGTGTCTCCGTGTCCCTCGGTGTCTCGCAGGCTGCGGAGTACGTGTCGGTCTTCGTGGATAACTCCAGCGGGTCGGCCCTCAGCGTCCTGCGGGACTCCTTGTTCTCTGGGATTCTGCTGGGAGTCTGAACCCTTCGCACCTCTTTACCTGATCAGCTCGGAGGTCAAAGGTCACAGGAGCTCCTCCCCGTCCTGTTTGCCTCAGTGCCACTTGATGGACAGACAAATCATCACTCTCATTAAATATATATATACATATATATATATATATATACATATATATATATATATATATATATATATATATATATATATACACACACACAATGCTCAGTTTGTTGTGTTTTCCTTTTGTCAAGATGTGAACAAACACACAAAAACAAACAAACAAACAGACTACAAAAGTGTTGATTAATCACAAATCACTTTATAGGAAAGAACATTTTCATCATTTGGATATAATCAGCATTACACCATTTTAACCCAATTATTTAACTCATGGACTAAATATTAAAGCAGGTGAAGCTAAACGTCACAATCGATTGTTTACTACAAAGACCAGATTGAACAGCTGTTGTTTGGCTCAACAATCGGACGGACTTGGAGCTGTTGGAAGGAGGATTCCTGTTGGCTAGCTTTGTGCTAATGCTAACATTTTGAATCCGGAAGACGTCTCCCTTGGATGTCACAAAACATAGCATTCAGCTAGCGGCTAGCCTGTTTCTAGAAGCTTCTGTTTGGACTTTGAGCTAACCAGTTGAAGCATAATGCTAATCATTAGTTAGCCGGTTGATGACTATAAACCTGACGCCGCTTGATAAGTCCTGAATGTAGACGGCCAACGCGTGAGGGTTCAGCCTGAGCTAATGCTACGCCGTCTCTGGTGCTGTTAGCATCATAGAAACGTAGAAAACGTAAGAGAGTAGATGTTTTTCAAGTATTTGTGCTAAGCTATTGTTTCCTGAAATGTTGGACTGTTCTTTTAAAACACTAATGACAGTAAATAATAAAGAACAGCGTGAAGTATTGGTAGTACACATAGTATTGGTCTCTATTCAACCGTCTAAATAATGTCTCCGTGTATCAGAGATGGTGGTATGAAAAGATCTAAAGCAATTGAGTTTTGTGCATCTACTGACACCCAAAGCTGCCGATTGGCTGAGGGGGCGCCGGGGGGCCGCCATGCCGGGCGAATGTCACATGTTTCGCGGCCGGTAGCGGAAGCGTACGTCGGCGGCGGGCAGCAGGATCCCCAGTCCGGCTCTACTGGCGTCCAGCGTGGCCCCGGCCTGCCCGTCCTCCAGCTGCAGGTCCACACAGAGCAGCAGCACGCACAGGAACTGCTTGATCTCGTTAACGGCGAAGAACCGTCCGGGACACCGGGAGGACCCGGAGCCGAACGGCATGAGGTAATACCGGAGCCGCTGGCCGTCTTTGTAGAAGTCAGTCTTCTCCACGCCGTCCTGCAGGAAGCGGTCGGCTCGGAACGACTGAAACAAGAGAAGAAGATAAGTTAAGACATTTTATGATTAGATGTTATTATTCATTTATCATCTCAATTTCTCGTTCGCTGGTTGCAATAGATCAAAGATAGCGCCGGCCAAATGATGCTCTCAGGGGGGCAAAGGTCAGACTCAGGGGCCGTACCTGTGGCTCCTCGTAGATCTCGGGGTCCATGTGCATGGTCTGAGGGTAGAGGGCAACGAAGTCTCCCCTCCTGACGGCCACCGAGCGCCCGGCGTCCAGCCGCAGGCTGAAGTCCTCCTGGGCCACGCGGATGTTCATGGACGCCGAGGAGAGGCGGAGGCTCTCGCTGATGGCGCTCTCTGCGGGCGAGAAGGGTCAGAGGTTACTCTATCTCCTCTAAACAACAGAAGGAGTCACAGAGAGCAGAACTGACCCAGATACACCAGCTTCTCCAGCTGCTCCCTGTCGAGCCTCACGTCCCGGCTGCTGCTGAACGGGACTCCGTCCCCGAGTCCCAGGACGGACTGAATTTCCCGGCGCGCCTCCCTTAGGGCCTCGGGGTGACGCGCCAGGTGGTACATGGCCCAGAAGGTGGCAGGGATGGTGTTTCCCACCGACGCCCAGAGGATGGCGAAGTGTTGAGCTGGAGGGGGATTAATATTAACAATGGAAGTTACTCAATAAGAGTTCAATGCATCATAATTCATCTCTAATATCTATTTTATATTAATTTGAAAACATCTGCATTTATCCTATTTAAAACTAAACTTTACAGATTACCTGTGAACACATCATGATAAGGTGATTTTTCACAGCAGACCCTGAACGCATCGTAGCGTAACTGAAAGCCGTTAGCGGTGCTGCTAACGCTACTAGCTCAACTCCTGTTTGTCTGAACACTCATTGGTTGTTTACAATGTCACATGATCATGATCACCATGATCACTCACAACACAGGTGTGCAGAGTATGGTTTTAACTTTTAGTTTTAATTTGAATTCCTTATTTTTTAATGTTTATTCTATATTCCCCCAAACACAGCCGTATATTTTATACCGTAGAGCAGAAGTCTTCAACAGGGGGGTTTTTCAACCAATTTTTTCTACACTTAAATGTCTTGAGAATCAGAATTGTATTTATTGTCTTTAAATACACATGAACCCAACATGTTGTAGAAACGGATAAATTGATGGAGGAGACGTTGTCTTTCACTCCCTCAGCAGCTCTCAAGCTGATACGACATCACAGGCACCAGCCAATCAGATCCATTCATGCTGATACGACATCACAGCCACCAGCCAACCAGATCCATTCATGCTGATACGACATCACAGCCACCAGCCAACCAGATCCATTCATGCTGATACGACATCACAGCCACCAGCCAACCAGATCCATTCATGCTGATACGACATCACAGCCACCAGCCAATCAGATCCATTCATGCTGACGTCTGAAGAGCGCAGAGCTCATAAGTAAAAGATGGGGGACCAAACTCCGTAGGACAGGGGGTCCCTGCTCCATCTCGCCATCAGTTTGGAGGAGCTTGTGATTATCAAAAGTTCTTTCCATGGGCTTAGTTGGGGTTCGCTGTCTTGTCTTGATTTAAGCGTTAGGTAAGGGGGGGACGCAGGATGTGCCGAGCAGGCAGACACGAGTCAGACAGGATGGGGAGTCCGTTTCTGTCCTGGCTGAAGGTCTGCGGGTCAACTAGAAGATTTACCAGCCAAAGGGGGGTTAGAGACACACCAACGCTATTCAACATACACACTCTGCTCGCTGATGTTTACGTTAAGTCAGGAGTCTGGACATTGGATGTGACCGGATCTTTAGATGCGGGAGGTGGAAGGTCCTCCTCTACGCCAGTTTAGGGCCAATAGAAATCTTTCCTTCTCTGTCTTTCAAGGGTCATGTTCTTTGCTGATGTTAGTTGTTCTTCCGGCCTGTGTGCTGCCTGAACTGCTCCTGCCTTTGCAAACGCAGCGCTGATACTTGACCTGTGATCTGACAAATAAATCTCCCAGAACGAGAGAAGTCGTTCGGCTGAATTTTTGATCACCCCGACCAGGCTCCAATTCTTGAACACGTATTCTTACAATTGGCCTGAAAAACGTTGAAGACCCCTGGTGTAGAGTCAAATTGTACATTTGTAAATTGACATGTTTTCTTATGTGTCTTGTCGTCCATTGTCTTACTGTCTGATGTCATGTCAAATTCCTTGTAACATATTTTGGTAATAAATGTTTCTGATTCCTGATCAGAGACTAGAAACACATCAGTGACGTCACTGAATCCTAAAGAGTCCAAATGAGACAACTGGACGTCGTAACTCCAAGAGTCCTCCTTTAGCTTAGCGATGGAGACGTGAGGCCATTTATAGCTGGACACAAAGTAATGTGACCATGATGGAGTTCCTTTACAGCCTAACGTGAGTTCCATACAGGAAACAGGAAGTGGCCACTGATACTTGTGAATTTGTGTCTTTGTCTACCTGCTTTGTCGACGTCCCCGAGAGCGTCGTACTGCTCAAACAGCTCTGATCGCGTCCTGATAAACAGCGAAGTGTCGGCCCAGCGGGACATCCTGTGCGGCAGGAAGTAGTCGATCAGCTTGTCCCTTACGGCCTTGGTCCGTCCCAGCAGTCGGATGGGGATCTGAGCGATGAGCAACGGGAACATGTTGTCGAACCGCACAAAGTCCCGCCTCAGCAGGCCGGTGTCGGAGTGGCGGCTGGCGGACGCCGGCCTGCCGTAGATGGTGAGGAAGGTGGCCTCGAACATGATGGAGTTGCAGAACTCGTACATGCCGGCGCTCCTCCAGTCGCCGCTCGCCCCCCCCGGCGGCGGCCCGCCCAGGTGGTCCTGACGAAACAGCAGCAGGAGGTTGCTCATCATGCTCTCCGTGAGGGCCGAGAGGCCGTCACCCTGGAGGAGCTGGAAGGTGCGGCCGATCTGCTCCGGCAGGCCGGGGAACTTGCCCCCGCGGATGGGCGGGTAGCCGAAGGTGACGGGCGCCACCTTGTCGGAGAACTCGTGGAAGTCCAGCTGTCGGCCGTGTCTGATGACGCTGGGATACAGCAGAGGGTCCATGACGAAGGTCATGTATTTACTTGCAGGTGGAGCACAGACACACTGGGATTAGTTTAACGCACTGACCTTTGAACCTTTGGTTTTGTCTCGGAGGTCAGATACCAACCTGCTAGCCGGAACTGTGAAAACGTCCTCTAAACTTCTTCTTGTGTTCTTCTAGAAACTTGTGGGCATCGCGACCGAACTCAGAGCTTTGCGACGTACGGAATCCAGCCTTTGATGAGCGGAGGTTCACCATCTCGTCTGCAGGACACAAGAGACGTCTCACTCAGGGATCTTCACACTGTCCGTCTGTCCTCCTGTCCACCTGTCTACCTGTCCATCTGTCCTCCTGTCCATCTGTCCTCCTGTCCATCTGTCTACCTGTCCATCTGTCCGTCTGTCCACCTGTCTACCTGTCCGTCTGTCCTCTTGTCCATCTGTCCTCCTGTCCGTCTGTCTGTCTACCCGCCTATTCACCTGTCTGTGGAGGTAGTACTCCACTAACAGTGAGTAGAGGTTAAAGTACTCCACTAACAGTGAGTTGAGGTTGAAGTACTCCACTAACAGTGAGTAGATGTTGAAGTACTCCACTAACAGTGAGTAGATGTTGAAGTACTCCACTAACAGTGAGTAGATGTTGAAGTACTCCACTAACAGTGAGTAGAGGTTAAAGTACTCCACTAACAGTGAGTAGAGGTTAAAGTACTCCACTAACAGTGAGTAGATGTTGAAGTACTCCACTAACAGTGAGTAGAGGTTAAAGTACTCCACTAACAGTGAGTAGAGGTTAAAGTACTCCACTAACAGTGAGTAGAGGTTAAAGTACTCCACTAACAGTGAGTAGAGGTTAAAGTACTCCACTAACAGTGAGTAGAGGTTGAAGTACTCCACTAACAGTGAGTAGAGGTTGAAGTACTCCACTAACAGTGAGTAGATGTTGAAGTACTCCACTAACAGTGAGTAGAGGTTAAAGTACTCCACTAACAGTGAGTAGAGGTTAAAGTACTCCACTAACAGTGAGTAGATGTTGAAGTACTCCACTAACAGTGAGTAGATGTTGAAGTACTCCACTAACAGTGAGTAGATGTTGAAGTACTCCACTAACAGTGAGTAGAGGTTAAAGTACTCCACTAACAGTGAGTAGAGGTTAAAGTACTCCACTAACAGTGAGTAGATGTTGAAGTACTCCACTAACAGTGAGTAGAGGTTAAAGTACTCCACTAACAGTGAGTAGATGTTGAAGTACTCCACTAACAGTGAGTAGAGGTTAAAGTACTCCACTAACAGTGAGTAGAGGTTAAAGTACTCCACTAACAGTGAGTAGAGGTTAAAGTACTCCACTAACAGTGAGTAGATGAAGTACTCCACTAACAGTGAGTAGAGGTTAAAGTACTCCACTAACAGTGAGTAGAGGTTAAAGTACTCCACTAACAGTGAGTAGAGGTTAAAGTACTCCACTAACAGTGAGTAGATGTTGAAGTACTCCACTAACAGTGAGTAGAGGTTAAAGTACTCCACTAACAGTGAGTAGAGATTGAAGTACTCCACTAACAGTGAGAAGAGATTGAAGTACTCCACTAACAGTGAGTAGAGATTGAAGTACTCCACTAACAGTGAGTAGATGTTGAAGTACTCCACTAACAGTGAGTAGATGTTGAAGTACTCCACTAACAGTGAGCAGAGGTTGAAGTACTCCACTAACAGTGAGTAGATGTTGAAGTACTCCACTAACAGTGAGTAGATGTTGAGGTACTCCACTAACAGTGAGTAGAGATTGAAGTACTCCACTAGAAGTGAGTAGATGTTGAAGTACTCCACTAGCAGTGAGTAGAGTTTGAAGTACTTCACTAACAGTGAGTAGAGGTTAAAGTACTCCACTAACAGTGAGTAGATGAAGTACTCCACTAACAGTGAGAAGAGGTTAAAGTACTCCACTAGCAGTGAGTCGAGTTTAAAGTACTCCTCTTGCTCAGAGGTACTTGTACCTCTTGCGGCCTCGCAGCAGGAGGCCGAGTATCAGCAGCAGGAGGCCGAGGAGCAGCAGCATTATCGGGGACATCTCGTTGCTTGTATCCGGAGAACCGACCTGAGGACCCGATTACTGAAAAAAGGAAACACAGTGAAGTTAACCACAGTCGCGCATGACTACATCCGGTCCCGCCCTTCAGAATAAGTTCCGCGGCGCTTTTTCACAATTGTCTTGAAAAATGAACCACTTATTGGGGAATAAAAGCAGAGCTATTTAACAGTCAAACTACCGGATTATTTTCGGTGGATCGGGTTTCTTAGTCCCTACAACACCGGGAAAGGACTCCCGGAGACATGAGGACGGAGGACGGTCGTTCTGCAGCGGGAACATCCGCTGACTTTATGACGTCAGCTGCTCTAATGCGTTCAATACAGTTATTGACAGTTATTGTACACTGATTTTTTACAATCACACAAGATGGAAACTCGTGATGTTTGATACCTAAAGAATAAGTTCAATGAAATGAAACTGGTTTAATTATTTTGATTTTTATGTGATGTCATTAGAGGCTCTAATAATCTTCATTTTATTTTTAATTTAATTTTAATTCTATTATAGTAATACAATTTCAACAAGAACTTTACACGGATAATAGCATTAACAACACTAATAGGAAGACTACACCTTAAACTGATTTTCACTAAAAACAAATACAAGTTCAACTTTATCAGCAACAATAACTTCCGGACTGAACCACAGATATCATCATGTCTTTAGTGATATTTCAGTTCCCTCAGTAGGTTCACATTCCTTTGTATTCATGTAGCAACGAGACTCCTCAGTGACGAGTCATGACTCCGCCCACAGCCAAGTCACGTGGCCTCGTTACGTCCAAACAGACACTAAAAGCAGCGGATGAACTCCAGACAATAATCGGTTACTGGAACAGGTAGACAGGTTAGCAGGTAGACAAGTTAGTGGGTTAACAGGTAGACAGGTTAGCGGGTTAACAGGTAGACAGGTTAGCAGGTTAACAGGTAGACAGGTTAGCGGGTTAACAGGTAGACAGGTTAGCAGGTAGACAGGTTAGCAGGTAGACAGGTTAGTGGGGTAAAATGTAGACAGGTTAACGGGTAGACAGGTTAACGGGTAGACAGGTTAACAGGTACAGGTTAGCGGGTTAACAGGTAGACAGGTTAGCGGGTTAACAGGTAGCCTTCCCTTTCACCAAATTCCTCTTTCAGAAATGAGATATTTTTGTTGTCAGAGCAATAATTAAAACAGACCAACAGATCAGTTTTATTAGCAGTTTTATTTATTGATCCATTGCATTCATACATTGTGTTTAATTTGCATTTTATGTATATTAAATATTGTTTATTCAAACTAAATGTTAATATTACAATTTGCAAACATGTTAAGTTGGTTTGAAAGTATCTCAACAGAACGGCTCGATGATGAAGATGAAGGTGACATTAACTGTGCTTCTCCATAGTTACATAAAACCAGTTATATTATGTAACTAAGATTAAAACGTCAAAGACCAGCACGTTGACCTTTGACATTGTTCTTGTAGTATTTCTAATAAGTTACTCTTTACCAACTGATTAGTGTGTGACGGTCAAATACAGAGCAGCATGCTGACAACGGGCTAGAATGTGATTGGCCAGAGTGTGGTGTGGGCGGAGCTATGAGCACCACTCACAGGTGGACAAACGGCAGCGTCACATCAGGAGGAGAAACGTTCATTAAAGGTCATTTTAACCGTTTCAGAGGAAACACTGCTGCTGTAAAACTCTACATGTTCTCTACATGTTAAGAACCCTACTTTCCAAGCGGAATATTCATAATCCCTTTAAGAAAGGGTACAAATGGAAATAAATAGTTTTTATAATAAATAGTCTTTAAGCGACGCCTCACAGCAAGAAGGTCGTGGTTCCACTCGGCCCAGAGGCCTTTCTGTGTGCAGTCTGCATGTTCTCCCCGTGTCTGTGTGGTTCTCTCCGGGTTCTCCGGGTTCCTCCCACAGTCCAAAGACCTGCTCTGGGGATCAGGTTGGTTGGTGACTCTAGTTGCCTGTAGGTGTGTGAGTGGTTGTGTGTCTCTGTGTAGCCCTGTGATTGGCTGGTGACCCGTCCAGGATGAACCCGTCTATCACATGAAGTCTGCTGGATGGACTCCAGCCCCCCAAGACCCCGTGTGCAGGATGAGCGGTGTGAAGATGGATGGATGATCTTTAAGCGGAGAAGCTGTCCAGAAACATAATCATGCAGAACACTGACATAACTTTGACTGCACTATGGTGACCTTTGAACTTGACTTACTGTCAAACACAACCAGAGAGCTCGGCCCTTACAACTTATCATCAAACAAAATGGCAGCTGGACGTCAAGAGAACATCCTTGGGAGTTTGGCTAATGGGTTAGCGGTTAGCTGCAGCTATCCTAGCTCATGCAGTCACATGGGAGACACCTACAACATTTAAAGGCCTCTGGTGACGGAGGCCGTGGACCTGATGAAGTCATGAGGACACAGATGGACAGAACCGCCTCAGAGGACCAAAAGGCACCGCCGACCGAAGCCCGACCTCAAAAACACATCGGCTCGGTCTCCGGGTCGAACACATAATGACCCAGAGGCCGGAGGGAGGAAGGGACTCTCTGCTCACGTCACTCACTTCCTGTCTGTTAGGACCGCTTGGTGTGACCCGTTTGCAGAAAGCTCAAACTGAAACCACGATCCTGCAGTTTTCTTTTTCTGCGTTCACTGCGGCGGGCGGATTTCACCAGTAGAAGGAGCGGGACAGGAAGTTTGTGGCGGCGCCCAGCCAGCTATTCCCATCCGGGCCAGAACCCAACCGGCTCACCGCCTTGTCGGGCTCCTGAGACGGACTGTCTTCCTCCGGCAGGTAGTCTGGCAGGTCCACGCCCTGCTGAGCCGGGGCGGAGCCGTCCTCCACCAGCGGGACAAAGACCTGGAGACGAAAGCGTTAGTCGGTGCGGCCTCGTAAGGGACCTACAAGGCTAGTGGAGTCCCACAGGGCAGCGTGTCGGGTCCTCTGGGGGTCACCTGCCGAGGAGCCATTACGACCAAGAGGCTCTTCACTTGAATGTGATTACACTGAGGGTCTCCATCTTTGACTACACTTAAAGTAGAGAAACTTCTCTGAGTCGTGAACCTTTAGAAGGATTTCCCCGATAAGAGATGAAAGACCCCAAAGCAGCGGCAGCTTGAGGCCTAGCTGGTGATTGACAGGTTGCTGGAACACATTGTTCCTCCAGTAACTTTCAAACCTTGTGTTTATCACGTTAAAGTGAATTGTAACATGCTTGTTTTAACAATGAAATATAAAATAAATAATGAATAAGCATTTATGTAATAACAGCTGCCGTACTGAGTGTTATAAACAGCTTGTGTAGAGGGTCATAGAACCTGACCTCGTCCCCGTTCTCCGCTCTCACCACCTGCTGAGCCGTCATCACCTGAGTGGAGGCGATCGCAGAGCCCAGATCCTGAAGGACAGGTTTCAGATCTTTATCAAATCGGCACATTTTAAAAAACATTTGTTCTGTCCGTTGAGTTGTCCCTTTAAAAACTAAATGAGTCAATAGAAACTTCAATCTGTCGTCAGCCGACGCTCACTGGCCAAGAAGTAGAAATGCACCGAATAGATCGAATCCGATCAGATTCACCTAAATATACGTCTATTTAGTCGTGATGAGGTCAACACTTACTGAAATAACTCGTTTTCAGCTGGCAGGAGATCCAGGTACCAAAACTATCATTGACACGACCTTTTGGGCTTCGTTTTAAAAACAGAGCGAAGCCTCCAGGTCAAACACGGACGGCGAAAAGAAGAAGCACCGCCTCACCTCGGCCTTCAGGTCCGATCGGATCCGGACCACGCACCTCTTCGTGGTCATCTGGAAAGTGAAGCTGATGACGCCTCTGATCCTCAACAGCGCCTCCTCACATTGACCCCTGCGACCCTGACGGGGAGAGGAGGAGCATTACGTGCGGAGGAACCAGAAGAAGAAGCAGACGTCGAAGGTCCTGCTCACATAGTCATCCAGGCCGTCGATGTGCAGGACGACGGTCTTGGCCCGCTTGTTGCTGGAGCCCATGAAGAACTGCGCTTTGCGGCGGCGGCTGCTGCTGCTGACGGCCTCCTGCGCCCGCGCAGAGGAGGAGCCGGAGGAGCAGGATCGCAGGAGCTCGTAGATCTCAGAGGCCAGCAGCTTGGTCTCCCCGGGGGTCGTGGACCTGGACGACAGAACCAGAAAAGCGTGGACTTTCTAATGGTTTCCGTCTCAATTATTTTACTGAACTGGTGTCTGACGATGATTCAGATTTAGAATCCAACAAATAAAAAGTAACTTAAACAAATATATTGTCAATCTACTTATTGAAAATGACCTAATTAGTTTATTATTCCTTCCGTTTCTGCTCCATTCATGTGTGTTTCAGGTTTGTTGACCTATTTGTTAATAATGCTTATAGACGTGAGGTTATTCTTCTGATTCTGCCACTTTCTTTTTATTAAGCAACAAAGAAATAAAAAGGTATTATAGGGGACATGAAGTTCCTGACTCACTTCTGCGTGACGTTCTGGAGGCTCGGCAGCATCCCCAGCTCCTCCTTCAGCTGCTCCTGGTTGGCCCGGTGCTCGGCCAGGTACCGGATGGCCTGCCATCAAGAACCACAGCTCAGCAAAGGCGTGACATTGACGCCTCTCATCTGCTCCGTGTCCGGGCGGAGGCTCACCAGGAGGGCGGAGTAGACCACCTGGGGGTTGGGGTTGTCCAGGAACAGGATGAGGCCCGGCAGGCAGCCCTGGTCCTGGACGATGGCCCTGCGGTTCATGGGGTCGGCCGCCAGGTCCCTCAGCTGGTTGACGACGGCCAGCGGGTCCGGCTCTGCGCTCATGGCCCCGGGTGGCCCATAGAGGGGCCCTGGGGACAGTCATTCAGTATTCATGTTCCAAGTTCAATCAAAAGCTATGTTCTCTTTTAAACTAGCAAACCCAATTCTTGTTATTATCATCGAACAGTTAGCGGGATTCTTCTTCTGCCATGTGGGTTTAGGGTGGTTCTGATTTGTCTCTGGTCTTCACCTCTCGCTTCTTCTGAAATGTGCAAACTAACATCACCTACTAGACCGCCGAGAGTCGATGTCCGGTCTAGTAAGGGAGGTTATTCAGCAACACTCTTGGTTACATCGACAGATATTAGCATTAGCTTCTGTGTGACAACAAACACCGTGATGCACCACCGGAAGCGGGTGTGTTCGACCCGCCGGCCCGGGGGTCCGATGGCGCATCTCGCGGTTAGAACCGCTGTGGGAGCCGAGGGCTGTGGAGGAATGCTAATGCTAACGGCGCTCACCCGTCTTCAGTTACCGGCACCAAGCTAACGGCTAACGTTAGCCGTTCCTTAGCTCCTCTTCCGTTAGATAACCTGAACCGCACGCGACAGCTAACGCGCTGGAAACGTCCTTGATAACGGATTAGTTTGTGCTTACAGTAAATAAAATATGCATTTACAGCGAGAGTAAACAAACCGCTGATGTTCTTTCTTCTGAGAAGCTGCGAGGCCACGTGTCAACAATAAGGCCTGTGAGTAAACGGCTGGTCGCCCTCTGATCCTACCGACCAATGGGCTGCGTTGTTCTTAGAGCTGAAGGTCCCACCCACCACTGAGTGTATTATACATCCACCGATATATTATATCGACAGAGATATATCGATAGTTACTGTACTACACTGATACTTTACTACACCTCAGAGGTACATGTTGTACTATTTACTGTAGTACACCTCAGGGGTACAAGTTGTACCTTCTACTGTACTACGTCCCAGAAGGTGAAATAATGGCCGGTACCTGAGTGTAGTGGTTGGTGTTGTCCTACAGGGGGCAGCAGAGGCCTGACTGTCCTCCACACGGCGTGTTTGGTGAGTGGAGCTTCTCGTCCATCCCAAAGGTGACCGCTGTCCAGTAACTATCAAGGCCGTCACTCTGTCCAGCCGCAGGGACACGAGGACTGACCGGATGAGGGAATCTGTGTACATCTGAGCACCGGGACCGAAACCCACAGTCTCTGTACAGCAACCTGACTGCGCCTGGCTGAGTGTTGCACATGTGTAAAAGGTGGAGTCAGAGCTGGTGGAGAAACATTCTAGATATGTGAACCCAAATAGTGGATATCCAACAACGTGTCTGTGTTCCTCCTCTCACTGCAGCCATGAAACACTGGATGGGAAACATGCTGATTCTGACTCTCTGGCTCGGTAACTCTTTAAAGCTCCCGATAGTTCTGCTTCATTCAATCATCTTCATTGATTCATCTCTTCTTCCTCAGAGTGTTCAGGAGAAGACACAGTGACCCAGTCCACAGGAGAGGTCATCGCTACCGAAGGACACACAGTTACTCTTGACTGTACATTTGAAATAAGTAGTAGCATTAATGCATATTTGTTCTGGTACAAACAAGAAGTCAAAAACCAGCTGATCTACATTTTGAGACGTGATACTTTGAACACAGAAGATAATTCTCCAGAGTTCCAGAAGGACAGATTCGATGCTACAATCAACAAGACATCGGTTCCACTAAAGATCTCGTCTGCTACAGTGTCAGACTCTGCTGTGTACTACTGTGCTGTGAGGCCCACAGTGACAGGAAACACCAAGACTCTGTACAAGAACCTCTGCAGCAAAGACAACTCTGTACACCATCCACCAGAGGGATTCTCCATCTGAATATCTTCAGCAGGATGTGACGATACCGTGTGGATTATTCATAGTGGTGATGAAACAGATGAAAGGGACAAATATAGCCTGATTGAAGGAAGTGATGATAATGAGGTGTTGTGTAATATTTCTTATATGAACAACACTTCATCATGAAGTGGAAATAAATATACTATGACATCTAAAAGAGCTAAAATTAAATCAAATTAGCAATCATTCCAACAATGCAAACAATATATATATATATATATCTGAGGAAATTATTCATTATCTGAAACACATTTGGATTATATGGAATGTGCTGTGTCAATATATTTACTACTATGTTTAACTCCACAACTAAAATCACCCAGTTTGATAAAATATCTTGATAAACTGTGTCTCATCACACACTCAGGTCTTCATTGGTCTTGTTTTCTGATTAAAATGAAATTTTCTGCGGTTATGTCAGATTGGGATTCCTTGTGGTGTTCCACAGGGTTCAATCATAGGTCCTCTCATTTAAATTGACATACGTTGAATAAAATAATAATTGAGTAAAACATCTGTTTCCTCTGTGTTTTTGATTGTATGTGATCATGAGTTCTATTAAATAACAATAGTGGCCACTTGTTTATTACATGAGAAGTCCAAGTAGGCGGCTTTAGATTCACATCAATGTAAGAAGGTCTGGAAACGCTCCTACAATTAACCTTTTCCTTTAATTCTTTAAACTACAGAATGTGATTTTACATCTTGCTAAGCTTCATTTTGATGTTAACTATACTGCTTATAGTCATCTTATTAAAATGTAGAGTCATTAGCAGTCTTTAAATTAGGAGTATTAATGAGTCTTTCTGCTATTTAATAATCCTGAATATTTGATACATATTCACAGCTATGTTTTGTATCTCCTGTTATTAAGTAGACACTAAAAAAGTAAAAGGTTTACGCCTCTAGAAAGTAAAAGATTCTGCTCTCTTTTTTTTAACCAGGAAGAAGAGCAACAGAAGTAAAAACAGATACTGAGAGGAGACGGTGAGATTCAGGGAGGAGCTCAGACGTTACTGAACTATAGAAGAGATGAACTTCTACATTCAACAGAGTTCAAAATACGAAGCATCAACATCACCTTCCTTCAACATGCTGTCATCACTGATGTTTCTAGTTATTCTACAAGGTTTGTTACATTCTGCTTTGAGGAAATGCTTCATTCCATTATTTCCTGAATGATTTAGTGAATGAGTTTTGTAAAATGTTCTAACAGAGTTATCTCTCCTTTTAGGATTCAGCTGTGAAGAACTCACACCAGTGAAGACAGAAGAAAACAGTGTAGAAAACACGACTGTTACTATGTCCTACAATTACTCCAGTCAGGCAGCTGGTAGTGATTCTTTCTTCTGGTATCGACAATATCCAGGAAAACCACCAGAGTTCCTCATCTCCCATCTCGGAACAGGAGGAATATTGAAGAGTCAAATGACTGAACTGATGATCAAAGTGGATGGAAACCGAATCAGTCTGAAGATCTCGTCTGCTACAGTGTCAGACTCTGCTGTGTACTACTGTGCTGTGAGGCCCACAGTGACAGGAAACACCAAGACTCTGTACAAGAACCTCTGGAGCAAAGACAACTCTGTACACCATCCACCAGAGGGAGTCTCCATCTGAATAAGTTGTTCAACCCAGGATCCCTCAGTGTGGATTCCTTTTTACCCTGAGACAGTTGTTGTGAAGAACTATACATACTACAGCTATGTGACATGAGTCTCCTCCTACTGACTGCAGAGGTGTCTACGTGGTGTACAATGGTTTGATTGCAGTTGTGAACATCCGACCAAACACGTGTCCACGCTGAGCACTCAGATACAACATCTCACCTCTGTGAACATGGACAAACTTGCTGCTGTTCTGTTCTTCTCGACCCTCGTAGGTATGTATGTTGATGACAATAAAACCTGAAATGTAACGTCAGACGTTTACTTGTAATCAACGCAGATCTAGATGTCATCACTAATAACGGATTATTAATTATCTAACAGAATCTTTTGTTTTCTCTACAACATCATCATCATAGTTTCCATCTGAAGGATCTCTGACTTTGTAACAGATCTCTTTATATTTCTTGTGGTCATCCTCACTAGGTAACACCTTGGAAGATGATATTACTGCCAACAGTGCTGAAGTTCTTTCATCTGAGGGCTTCAGTGTTTCCCTGTCCTGTAAATACTCAGTTAAAGCCGATAATCTCCAGTGGTATCGACAGAATCCGGGGTCATCTCCTCAGTTCCTTCTTCTGATCACTGATACTCAACAGCCCTCAGTGGTGCATGCACAACCTCCAGAGCCTCGGCTGACTGCTGAACTGAATAAGGAGAGAACTCAAGTCCATCTGAAGATCTCGTCTGCTACAGTGTCAGACTCTGCTGTGTACTACTGTGCTGTGCAGCCCACAGTGACAGGAAACACCAAGACTCTGTACAAGAACCTCTGGAGCAAAGACATCTCTGTACACCATCCGCCAGAGGGAGTCTCCAACTGAATAACTTTGAGATCAGAAGCCAACAAAAGTTCAACCAACTCAACCTACACCAAGGGCATCCACAGAAGTTATTCCACGCTGGAAACGTCCTTGATAACGGATTAGTTTGTGCTTACAGTAAATAAAATATGCATTTACAGCGAGAGTAAACAAACCGCTGATGTTCTTTCTTCTGAGAAGCTGCGAGGCCACGTGTCAACAATAAGGCCTGTGAGTAAACGGCTGGTCGCCCTCTGATCCTACCGACCAATGGGCTGCGTTGTTCTTAGAGCTGAAGGTCCCACCCACCACTGAGTGTATTATACATCCACCGATATATTATATCGACAGAGATATATTGATAGTTACTGTACTACACTGATACTTTACTACACCTCAGAGGTACATGTTGTACTATTTACTGTAGTACACCTCAGGGGTACAAGTTGTACCTTCTACTGTACTACGTCCCAGAAGGTGAAATAATGGCCGGTACCTGAGTGTAGTGGTTGGTGTTGTCCTACAGGGGGCAGCAGAGGCCTGACTGTCCTCCACACGGCGTGTTTGGTGAGTGGAGCTTCTCGTCCATCCCAACGGTGACCGCTGTCCAGTAACTATCAAGGCCGTCACTCTGTCCAGCCGCAGGGACACGAGGACTGACCGGATGAGGGAATCTGTGTACATCTGAGCACCGGGACCGAAACCCACAGTCTCTGTACAGCAACCTGACTGCGCCTGGCTGAGTGTTGCACATGTGTAAAAGGTGGAGTCAGAGCTGGTGGAGAAACATTCTAGATATGTGAACCCAAATAGTGGATATCCAACAACGTGTCTGTGTTCCTCCTCTCACTGCAGCCATGAAACACTGGATGGGAAACATGCTGATTCTGACTCTCTGGCTCGGTAACTCTTTAAAGCTCCCGATAGTTCTGCTTCATTCAATCATCTTCATTGATTCATCTCTTCTTCCTCAGAGTGTTCAGGAGAAGACACAGTGACCCAGTCCACAGGAGAGGTCATCGCTACCGAAGGACACACAGTTACTCTTGACTGTACATTTGAAATAAGTGGTAGCATTAATGCATATTTGTTCTGGTACAAACAAGAAGTCAATAACCAGCTGATCTACATTTTGAGACGTCATACTTTGAACACAGAAGATAATTCTCCAGAGTTCCAGAAGGACAGATTCGATGCTACAATCAACAAGACATCGGTTCCACTAAAGATCTCGTCTGCTACAGTGTCAGACTCTGCTGTGTACTACTGTGCTGTGAGGCCCACAGTGACAGGAAACACCAAGACTCTGTACAAGAACCTCTGCAGCAAAGACAACTCTGTACACCATCCACCAGAGGGATTCTCCATCTGAATATCTTCAGCAGGATGTGACGATACCGTGTGGATTATTCATAGTGGTGATGAAACAGATGAAAGGGACAAATATAGCCTGATTGAAGGAAGTGATGATAATGAGGTGTTGTGTAATATTTCTTATATGAACAACACTTCGTCATGAAGTGGAAATAAATATACTATGACATCTAAAAGAGCTAAAATTAAATCAAATTAGCAATCATTCCAACAATGCAAACAATATATATATATATATCTGAGGAAATTATTCATTATCTGAAACACATTGTGATCATATGGAATGTGCTGTGTCAATATATTTACTATTATGTTTAACTCCACAATTATAATCACCCAGTTTAATAAAATATCTTGATAAACTGTGTTTCATCACACACTCAGGTCTTCATTGGTTTTGTTTTTTTCATTAAAATGAAGTTTTCTGCAGTTTTGTCGGATTGGGATTCCTTGTGGTGTTCCACAGGGTTCAATCATAGGTCCCCTCATTTAAATTGACATACGTTGATTAACATAATATTTGGGTGAAACATCCGTTTCCTCTGTGTTTTTGATTGTATGTGATCATGAGTTCTATTAAATAACAATAGTGGCAACTTGTTTATTACATGAGAAGTCCAAGTAGGCGGCTTTAGATTCACATCAATGTAAGAAGGTCTGGAAACCCTCCTACAATTAACTTTTTCCTTTAATTCTTTAACCTACAGAATGTGATTTTACATCTTGCTAAGCTTCATTTTGATGTCAACTATACTGCTTATAGTCATCTTATTAAAATGTAGAGTCATCAGCAGTCTTTAAATTAGGAGTATTAATGAGTCTTTCTGGTATTTAATAATCCTGAATATTTGATACATATTCACAGCTGCGTTTTGTATCTCCTGTTATTAAGTAGACACTAAAAAAGTAAAAGGTTTACGCCTCTAGAAAGTAAAATATTCTGCTCTCATTTTGTTAACCAGGAAGAAGAGTAACAGAAGTAAAAACAGATACTAAGAGGAGACGGTGAGATTCAGGGAGGAGCTCAGACGTTACTGAACTATAGAAGAGATGAACTTCTACATTCAACAGAGTTCAATATACGAAGCATCAACATCACCTTCCTTCAACATGCTGTCACCACTGATGTTTCTAGTTATTCTACAAGGTTTGTTACATTCTGCTTTGAGGAAATGCTTCATTCCATTATTTCCTGAATGATTTAGTGAATGAGTTTTGTAAAAGGTTCTAACAGAGTTATCTCTCCTTTTAGGATTCAGCTGTGAAGAACTCACACCAGTGAAGACAGAAGAAAACAGTGTAGAAGACACAACTGTTACTCTGTCCTACATTTACTCCAGTCAGGCAACTGGTAGTGATTCTTTCTTCTGGTATCGACAATATCCAGGAAAACCACCAGAGTTCCTCATCTCCCATCTCGGAACAGGAGGAATATTGAAGAGTCAAATGACTGAACTGATGATCAAAGTGGATGGAAACCGAATCAGTCTGAAGATCTCGTCTGCTGCAGTGTCAGACTCTGCTGTGTACTACTGTGCTGTGAGGCCCACAGTGACAGGAAACACCAAGACTCTGTACAAGAACCTCTGGAGCAAAGACAACTCTGTACACCATCCACCAGAGGGAGTCTCCATCTGAATATCTTCAGCAGTATGTGACGATACCGTGTGGATTATTCATAGTGGTGATGAAACCGAAGAAGGACAAAAATAGCCTGATTGAAGGAAGTGATGATAATGAGGTGTTGTGTAGAATTTCTTATATGAACAACACTTCATCATGGAGTGGAAATAAATATACTATGACATCTAAAAGAGCTAAAATTAAATGAAATTAGTAATCATTCCAACAATGCAAATAATATATATATATATATATATATATATATATATATATAGAGTCTTTCGTGGCAGTCAAGACGAGCAGAACAAAGACAAGGGAGTCTTTCGTGGCAGTCAAGACGAGCAGAACAAAGACAAGGGAGTCTTTCGTGGCAGTCAAGACGAGCAGAACAAAGACAAGGGAGTCTTTCGTGGCAGTCTTCGGGGCGGCTGAATGCGGCGCCTTCTTCTGCTATTTTTAATAATGTGTTTGACCCCTTCACCCGTGCCTGTTCGAATCTCTTCCCGCAGATACTACAGGCCTCGGGCTAGATCTGCTCTCTATCGTAACCTCTCCTCTCTCTCCTATCCCACCCGCTCCTCACACGTCCAGCACCTCATCACAGGAGGTCTCTGGAACTGCCAGTCAGCGACTCGCAAGGCTGACTTCATCTCCGGCTTTGCTATCCAGCAGTCACTCGACTTCCTCGCTCTGACCGAGACCTGGATCACACCCGAGAACACATCCACCCCAGCCGCTCTCTCCTCCGCCTTCTCCTTCAGCCACACTCCCAGGCCCACTGGTAGGGGTGGTGGCACAGGTCTACTCATTTCACCCAAATGGAGCTTTTCTCTCTACCCTCTACCACCAGCCACCCCATTGTCCTTTGAATTCCATGCTGTAACAATCACTCACCCGGTACAATTAACCATCATTGTCCTCTACCGTCCGCCAGGCTCCTTAGGTCATTTTTTGGAAGAACTGGACATTCTCCTGTCTAATTTCCCCG